GGGGCACCGGGGGCCTGCGCCGCTGCGGGGGACAGGGGCTCCCAAACCGCTCTGGTGCTTGCTAGGGACGCGAGCAGGTACCTTGGATTTGGGGTTCCAAGCGCACTGGCCCTGGGGTGCCGCAGGGCTGCCTCGTCGCAGAGCTCCGGGACGGATGCTGACGGATCGCGGGGCGGCAGTGGGTGACAAGAGCCCCTGGGGCTGCGTGGGGGATGCTCAACCACCTGCCCTCCCTTTGCCCTTGCATCCCGGGAAGCACGGAGCTGGGATGCACGGGGTGCCTGGGGGCTGCTGGAGCCAGGCGGGATCACCGTCATTCCTCACTGCTTCCCACCCATCCTCCCAGCAGCTCGGACTCCGAAGGGAATTTTGAGACCCCCGAAGCCGAAACGCCGCCGCAGGAGCTGAGCGCGCCGGGGCTGCGCGCGCCGCAGGCCGTGGGCCGAGGTAAGGCCCGCGCCCCCAGCCCCTGCGCCTCCGTGGCGCTCCGGAGGCGGAAGAGCCGGGTGGGGTCACGGAGAAGCTGCTGCTTTTGAACAAAACCAGCACATTTTTTGTGGTTAATGGCCTGGGTGGTTCAAATGCCGGCGCTGGGGGCTGCACGAGCTGCTCTTGGCCTCGGCGCTGGTTTCCCTGAATCATCCTTGAGGGGGCAGGGAGCAGCTGGGCTCCCTCCATTCCCAAAGATGGGGATCAAGGGGAGGCTCCAGGGCCCCGAGGCAGAGGGGCAGCGGGACGGACCCATCGGAGCGGCCGGCTCGGCGGTACCTCCCGGCACATTCTAACCTTGCCGGAGCGGGGAGCTGCCCTTGCCGTGGGCACCGGCATGACGCGATGCCACCGCTGGCAGGTCCCTTTCCCCGGGGACAACCCGGCCTCTGCCCTTAAACGCCTGCTTGCAAAACACCATCCCCAGCGCGCTTGCTCGCTCGCCTTGAGGGAGATGCTCCGTGCAAGCAAAGCAGGCGCGGAGCCGCCGGGGCCAGGAGCGGAGCCTCGCGGCAGCGCCAGCCTTGTTTGCCGGGATGCTTATTTATAACA